TGATACAGCGTGACACTATCTTGTCCTCGAGTCTCATTTGGGTGAGGACTCGGGGATGGATAATGCACGCTCCACTCCCATCGTCTACCATGATACATTTGACATCAGTATCGAAAATGTATAAAGTAATGACGAGAGCATCATTGTGAGGAAAAGTCAAACCGTCGGCATCTCACTCGTCGAAAATGATACTTTCTTCGAGTCCGTCATACCGTTCATAGGTGATGGATCTTTTGAGATTATGGTTGGCAGTGAATTTAACGCTGTTGATGGAGGCATCGTCACTATCGTCGATGATCATGTTGATAGTACGAGCTGATGATGGTGACCTCGACTGGCCTTGGTGTTCACGTCTTCTGGCGAAGTTGTTTCTCCCCTTGTCGCTCAGTAGCTCTTTGAGGTGTCCCTACTATAACATGTTCACAACCTCTTGCCTGAGGGCAATACAGTCTTCTGTCTTGTGTCCGCGCTCCTGGTAAAATTTGCAGAGGGCGTCAGATTTTTTGGTGCTCGGGTCGGACCTCATCTTGGGCAGCCATTTCACCTTCGCTCCAAGTATTTCCAGGGAATAAACTATTTATGCAGGTGACACACAAAAATTGTAAGCAGATAATAAGGGGGGCATACCTCTCTCGTTCCGGTGAGTCCCCGTCCTCAGCCTGGATGAGCCTTCATCGTAGCGGAAAGAAGGCGGGGAGGGGCCCTGATGTATGGATGATGTCGTTCCCTATTGGGTCATGAGATCAGGTGATCCTTCCGTATGTTATCTCTTCGTTCTTTCCTAGGCTCGGCTTATATCGAGACGAGCTGTCGAGTTGGTCCGTTGAGGTCATCGCCATCTGCTAGGACTTCGTATCAGTAAGCATTATGGATTTCATTCCAAGTGGTTGGAGGATATTTTATTAACCGGCTCAGCAATTTTCTGGTCGCTCTTGGGCCCCCTCTACTCAACCCGTTCTGAAAGGCTACGACTGCCATTCCCTCGGACACGTTTGGTAGGGTCATCCTTACCCTCTTGAATCGGGAAATGACATCTCTCAGTCCCTCTCCCAAGGATTTGTTGATGGCAAAGATGTCGTTTACTCTTGTTTAGGCTTTCTTGGCTCCGGCATGCGTTGTTACAAATTTGTCGGCCATTTCTTCGAAGGTTTCTATGGAGCGGGCTGGTAGCTGTAAATACCATGTTAATGCCCCTCCCGTAAGGGGTTTCGCCGAATTTCTTCAGTAAAATAGAGGACACTTGTTCCTTGGTGAGATCTTTGCCTTTCACGGCGGTGACATAATGAGTCACGTGATCTTCGGGGTTAGTCGTTCCGTCGTATATCCTGAGATTCGACGGCATTTTGAAGGTCTTTGGTATGGCATGCAGGGCTGATTCCTCGCTGTACGGCTGCTCTACGAATCTTCCAACGTCCCTCTTTGGCAGTAGCTTGGGGGTGCCCGATATCTTGTCAACTCGTTCTTGGTGTTCTTAAATTTGACCTCTGAGCACTTTATTTTCGCTCTCCATTTCTTCCATCCTCTTTAGAACAGCGGCGAGGACGCTGTCACCTGCATTGTTAGTAACATTGTGAGTTATACCTGGTGTTGGAGGGCCTGGTTGGTCTCCCTGTTCGTTTGCCCGTTGCACTGCATGGGCTCTTGCGGTCTCTGTAGCCGTGCATGGAGTAGGTTTGTTGAGCATGCTTACTAGCGTATCGGTCAACCATGCTTCGAGGATCTTTTTCATGGCCGGTGGCATCCCTTCTCCTGTGGACGTGGAGGCCCCTTTTCCATGTTGTTTTGTTATGCTGCAACGGGGGAGGGGGGGGACCTCTGGCGCCTAGAGTAGGTAGTGGGTGTCACATCATCGCCTAGAGTTTTGCAGCTCTCGTTGATAGCGTTTATGAGGTTTCCAGGGAAGTCACCTGTCACTTTGCCATGTAGGTTTCCGTACGTGCAGAGAAAGAGAAAAATCTTGCGATTTGTTAGGTTAGTGACTCACATGAGTTGTAGATCTAAAGGAAACTAAAAAATTAGCTAAAAAGTCCCCGCAGACGGCGCCAAACTGTTTGACCCAAAATATAGACCTTGGTTCAACCAATTAGATTTAAATAAAAAAAAAGTCAATCTTAGCTAATAATAATATCTAAAATATAAGGTTATCGGTTTTATGACAGATAATAAGTATGTATATTTGACTAAATGGTAATGAATGTGAGCAATAACAACAGTATTCAATGATCTAGAAAGATGGAAGATAACATTAAATAGTAAAACATAGCAATGAATGGCCGTTAAGTAAATAAAAACGTGTGAGTCACCCGAAAAGGGGTGGAAACTGTGGATATTATTTCTCACAATGATGAATGATTGATGAGTCTTAGAACACTCAAGTTATTTTTGGATCAAGTGAAAAACTAGATAAGAATCTTAGTAAAAAGATTATTTTCGTATGCTTGTAATATGGTGAGATTCTCTCTATAAAGTCAATGTGTTTTCTTACAAGTGAATATCTCATGTCCCATATCTTTGTGTCTCTTTGTATTTATAGGGAACATATTCCTAGAAACCCTAGTAGTACAGGTGCAGAGAATATCCACTAGAATATTCTCTTTAGTGTCCTATCTTAAAACTAACCGTTATAACTTTGTCTAGGATGCTCGACCAGCTCGACCTTGATCTATGACGACTTCTCGACCTTGATCCTTGCTGACTCTTCGACCGCAACCTTCATCGTTCCTGGAATCACTTCGACCTTGGGCAGGTATCCATTGAAGTTGTATTGGTAACACATGACAGTCTGTAAATGCCTCATTAATGTTAACATGGTTTGATCATATTAGAGATAATTTTTGACCCATACAAGTAGAACAATGTTTTCTTTCCCACACCTTACTAGCTACCACAGGAATTGAGAGTTAAACAGCTAATCGTGCTGTGTTAAACACAGACTAAAACGTGAAGGTAATGAGTAGAATTGACAAATTAATGATCCACCTATAATTCACACTGTCCCCACCAGTAGTTATTTAAGTCATTATGAAAGTAAATGTTAAGATAAAAGACTTGGCCAAGACCTTAATGCATCTGCACCACATGCTTATTATTCTCCAGTTAAGGAATTCCGAACAAACCTTGAAAGCTCCACATACCGATTCCTGTGTTTACCAAACTTAGTCCCTCCACTTTTTGCTTTTTAATTTTCTCACCAAATATGTTATATCTAATAAAACTTTTTCTTTTACAGATGTTATACCTAGTGCTAAATGGCAATAATAATTTTCTTAAGCAAATTATTGAAGATGCGGCTTTGAATGCATCTTAAAGATTACAACTCTACCATGCATTACATAGAAGTAGGATTTGAATCCTACCAAAGTTTATCCACTCTTTTACTTTCACATAGAACTAGGATTTGAATATTCTGTACACTATGTATGAAGAAATGGAACCAGTCAACATTACCGTCATTGATGAATCATTAGTTCTAAGAGCTAGTAACCGTTCTAACTGCCTATTTGACGTTGGAAGCAAATCAAATTGCTTCCAAATTGAGAATTAGTTAAGTGTCCGCCTCGTAGTTCCATTTAAACATCAATTTGCATCTGCATGTTATAACTTTTGGAGAATAATCCATGTCGTTTCACATCAGAAATAACCAATTTTTGATCTAGTGACATGATACAGACATTTATCCAAAAACTGATTTCGGGTTTGCTCACTACTAAACTAAACATCTGAAAACATCGTTATGTTTAGTGACACATCATGGTTTAGTTCCAAATTCGGTAAAGATGTTGTGTTCTTTGCGACCCAATTGATATAACATGGACGATTAATTAACGTCATAAAAAGCCACTTATACTAACTAATTGACAATATTTGTCAACTATAAAGTAAATGCTTATGATTAGGATGTCATCCTGTGTTTAATATTACAAGTTTATACGCTTGTTTTTCATCACTATGGAAATTCATGGTGTTAGTTCATTTAATCTTCTACTCCTATATACTAGTTTTCGGGAGCACTTTTACGGAATCGTAGAATTAGTTATGCAAAGAAGACTGGGGTGGAGATAATATGAAACAATTTTAGATATCGAAACACAGAAGCCACTTAAGAATGTTGTTTAATTTACTTCACTCCAAGTAGAGATTTATCAATGAAATCTACTTGGAATGTTACTCACAATGTTACTTCACTCCTGCTTTCTCTCTACTCTACCAATGAAATCTACTCGATAATAATACATAAGTTCTTCTATCTGCCCTAATTATATAAATTTACAGGTAGGTGAGGATTTCCAATATTGTTATTTCATGTCATCCAAGGCTGTTTGGTTGCTTCTCTCCACCATAATATTGATTTAGTAGACTACTTTACTTTTTTTAGAAGAGAATATTATTTAGCCTGATCAATTATGAATTTGTTTTACCTTTCCTGCACATTTGAGTTGAGCGCTGAGCGCAGAGAGATGAGAGTACCCCATAATGTATAAAGTTTAAGTTTTCTGCACTAAGATTCTAAAAATATTTGCAAAATCAGATCATCAAAAATAAGATAAATTATAGGTACATCTTTCCTTACAATCATTAATTGATAACATAATATATAAAAATGATAACTAAGCTTCAATTTACATTATCAGATTATATTACTTAAATGCTTTACCTCAACACTTTTTAAATATTATAAACTTAAAAACGTGAAATTGACTTGCTAAATATTAAAATTCCTTCTAACGTCTTTGTGTGTTGGACTTTATATATCTCAACACCAATAAGACATTTGGCAGGCAAAGAGCGGACCTATACGTGATTGTAACCATCTCTTTTATTTTCTAAGTCCCACTATGATCGATGCAGATGCCTATAGATATATGTATCATATTGCACAGCCCCACCACTTAATTTCTATATTAGAAACAGAAAAAGTCGACATCCTATGTATATAAATCCCTGTAGCCCACCCCTACTTCTATGGAAGTCCATATCAATAATTCGTAGTTCAATCGCAGTTAACATTTATATCTTCTTTATCAAATATAATACCACAGTTGCACAACCTTGGACAAACAGAATACACAGCAATGACAATGACTCGGAAAAATACTTTAATAGACTCTCCATATTACTTAATTATTATAGTTTGGAAAAATATCTGATGCTTTATACCTTCGTGTAAAGACCAAACATTTTACCTAAGTAGTTTAACAGCTATAATAAGCCCCACTTGTCCAACAAGTAAATTATGATTAATTAATTCCTGTTTAGGAGTTCCTCAATCATCTGCAGCGCCATTCGTTCTTCTTCATCCATGCCACGTTCTTCGCCTTCTAATTTCTCCATTGAAGTCTCTGGAATTGAAGCAGTTACTATATCTTTTTCTTGCACCCCCTCTAGGGTTGGTTCGTTGTCATTTATTTTCTTTTTTCCAAGTTCGACAGTCATTACCCAGCTAGAATCGGGCCGAGCCCCAGCTCGCTTCTGCCACACTCCAATACTGGAACTCTCCGTGTCAAGTCTAAGGCAAGTGAGAGATGGAGAAGGCAATTTACAGCACTTGCGAAGTTTTGCGCTAAGCATAGCAGACAATGATGATGATCCGGAGAAAGACGAATTAGCACTAGTGTTGTTGTCTTTTCCGTTTTCGTTAGGTGCTGCCACTGGGAAGTTTGTTTTGGCATTACGTCCACTCATTAGAACAGCAGCCTCATCGTACGCTCGGGCCGCTTCTTCCGCTGTTTCAAAAGTTCCCAGCCACACTCTCCTCTTCCTACGAGCATAAAAACGATCAAATAGTCATGTTATCAATAATAAATGTGTGATGTAAAAGTCCTATAAAGATTGAACTCATTAAATTTAAACGTTGAACCCGCATTATCACGAAATAAGATCTTTATCACTATAGAGTTATATGGAATTAAAGGTAGTGGTACGCGACGCAACGCATAGTGAAAATTTATGTGCATATTAAATTTAATAGTTGAATATCCAATCTAGGAAGTGTTGAAAAATAAAAAATAAAAAAACAGGGAAGAGTGGAGGTGCATGGTAAAATACAGCAAAGGATGACGAATCTCAGCAACCCAAGAACCCCAATGGCGTTGCCTTACACCTCTGAACTTCTTTGCCTGTACCATACTTGGAGTTAGCGGAGACACACTGTCAGAGAGCTGATAGAGAAAGAGAGACTGAGAGAGTTGTACAGTTGAAGATGCCGAACTAGTTTACGAAGATGGATACATATAAGGGTCTGAACATAAAAGACAGTAGTGGCTTACTGGCATATTACTTAGTTAATTAAGCTTTGTACGAAGGTTGTGTGAGGAGCATTCAAGGAGAAAGTTAATGATTTGTGAGATTAGTGATTTGTAGTTCAAAAATAATTAATACTACTATTACTGAAAGTCCCGTGGACTTCTCACTAGCCCACCACCATAGAAAGTGCAATTTATTGCAGTAATATCTCTTCTTTAATTGCCTTTTAGTACCATATTTGAGGGTACTCTTTTGGTATGGCTGCATGTGCAGAGTAAAGTGCTACCTTTTGATGGCGATTGGCGATAATGAAAGTGAAAGGCCAAAAAATAATATAACTCGAAGCTGCTAGCTAGCCGCTCAGACCAAGAAAACTATTTTACCAAGCAATTTCATCAAGGAAAGATAGTACAATTAAGGAGTATATGAGTATACAACGTAACTTGTTATATGCTAGTGTTACTTTATTTTCGAGATTATTATATTAAACTTATATGTAAAATTACATATTTGTTTTTAAAAGAAATGAATGAGTATCCCTTTTATTGCCATCAGAAGAAGAGTACGTTTGAAGAAGGAGGGCTAGACCTGGCCGAAATTTGATAGCTTGGAGCATCCAAACTATAGATATGTGAACAAATATGTATGCGCNTTACTCGAAAAGCTGGTAATTCTCATATATATATAAAAACTTCTAATTTGCTCGGTAAAGTATCAAATTGTGTGTAAATATAAACATCAGCATTTTTGTGCCTCTGTCCGCAACCTGATTAGCCTCCCTGAAGCAGTGCCCGGTGATAACATTATTGTTCTTATTATATGTCAGCTTAACTTGATAACGTAAAATTTATTTACATAGTCAAAATATAAACTCTTTAAGAAAGACTTTAACTTACAACATGTTAAAATTATTTTTATACAAATAGATCATCTAAAAGGTAAATACAAGTAACTATCTTTATGTAATGACCTGACCGGTCGTTTTGAGTTTTAAGGTTCCGTTCAATGGTTTGAGGTCTTGAGTGGTTTTACATTATGTATTATGACTTGCGTGCATGGTCGGATTTAATTTTCGAATGTTTCAGAATGAATTTGGATGAATGATTCTCACTTTAGAAGCTTTGTTGATCAAGGTTTAACTTTTGTGAAATTAACCCCGTAGCGGTGTTTTGATTTCTCCGATGGGTTCGTATCGTGATTTTGGACTTGGGCGTATGCCCGAAATCGAATTCGGAGGTCCGTAGGTTGATTTGTGTTGTTTTGCCGAAAGTTGGCAATTTAAGGCTTAGAATTTTGATAAGTTTGATCGTAGGTTGACTTCATCGCTATCGTGTTTGGATTTCTATTTCATGACTTGGAATAGGTCCATTTCGTCACTTGAAACTTATCTGCAAAGTTTGGCGTCATTCCGATTTGATTTGATAGGAATCGGACGCGCGATTGTGTTTTTAGAAGTTCTTGAGTTTCATGTTGATTTCATGTATTTTGGAGGTCCGATTCATGGTTACAGATGTTATTTTGATGATTTGATCGCGTGAACGAGTTTGTATTATGCTTTTAGACTTGTGTTGATATTTGGTTTGGAGCCCCAAGGGCTCAGGTGAGTTTCGTACGCGTTGCGGAGTGTTTGATAGAGTTTAAGTTCTGCTGGTTTTTGCACAGAAGCTTCAGGTCTCACATTTGCAAGATATGAGTCGAAATTGCGATGTTTGGCTTGAGTCTGCTGGGATCGCATTTGGGAACCCTGTGTTCGCATTTGCAAAGAGGAGTTAGGCTTAGCAGTGATCGCATTTACAATCATCCTAATCAATTTTGCGATGGTCCAATGTTCGCATTTGCGGACCATACGTCACATTTGCGATGACAGGGGGGATGTGAGGAGTTTCGCTTTTGCGATAATTTCTTCACATTTGCGATACATGCGCCTGGACAAAAGCTGAGGGACGAGATTTTTAGTCTCATTTTCACATCTTTGAACCCTAGACTCGGTAGGAGGCGATTCTGAAGAGCGATTTTCATCTACAATTATTAGATAAACGATTTTGTTTAGTTTTGAACTTTTTTACATGATTATATGTGAGTTTTAACATCAAAACCTTGAGAATCAAAGTGAAATTTTGAAAAACTTTGTCTATATTTTGAAAAATGAGGAATTGAGATTTGAGAGTCAATTTGAACTCGAATTTTGAAACAAAATACATGTATGGACTCGTGGAGTTATTGTCACGACCCAAAATCCTACCACAGGTGTCGTGATGATACTTAGTCTCTAAGACTAGGTAAGACGATTACAATTACCCAAGGGATTGCAACAGCCAAAGAGCTCTATCTTAAATCCTTGCGATCACACTCTAACCTCTGTCCGAATCCGATATCTCCAATACCTAGCTCTGCACAAAAATGTACAGAAGTATAGTATGAGTATACCATAGTTAGTACCCAATAAGTATCAAGACTAACCCCGGTGGAGTAGTGACGGGATATAGTCAAGACACTCACTAGTCAAATAACCTGTGCAATATAACATACAAAAATAATAGAAAGACAATTAGCAGTTATAGCAACAATAATCAACTAGTGATATAAACAGCAAGGCAGCAAGGATACCATAAATATTGCTCAAGCGAATAATGGACATAAGTACAACCAATTAATCAAGTCCTTCAAAATATACATCTTTCAAATATAAGTCCTTCAAATATAAATCTTTCACATATAAGTTCTTCAAATAAAAATCTTTCGAATATAATTTTTTCAAATAAAAGTCACTTTGTGACACCTCATTTCATAATCATAAAATACGGGTCTCAACCCACTTTCATACTTTTACGGTACCTCGTGCCTATATCTCTATTACAACCGCACGAAAAACTCACGTACTAAAATATCAATGTATATAAGATCCACATGATTAATTTATTTTCAATAAAGTAAGTTTACAATTTTTAAACTAAGTAAGAAATCAACAAAGAAATGAGTTTATTTTTGAACTCGTTTGGGGGAAGAAAATGATGTTTCAATTAAAATGAAGCATCCGATAGCTACTGATTTGGATATAAAATTTATTAAATTAAAATATAATAGCAATTTCTTTTATTCAAAACAACTCAAACCTTGAAAATCAGTAAAACCAGAAACACAAATCGTTAGAGTCTTGTACAAAGAGCCAAAGCCAACACAATATAATAAAAAATACAAAACACATAATAAAATCAAATAATACATCACGAAAGAACACAAGAATTTATACATCACGAAAAAATAAAATAACCAAAGGCAAGTACAACCATAGAGAAATATCAACAAAGGGCACTCCCGAGGTACCGCCTCGTAGTCCCAAATCATAAATAAATTTCAATCTTTCCTTATATTACCGCGGGAGCCTTCACATTTAGTTTTAAAAAAATTATTTTTCCCGAAATAGCATCCTGCGTTTTAGCCATCCTTATCATACCGCATGGCTTCTCGTAGTTCCCCTACTAGCCACGTGAATGAAGCCCCCCTTATCTCACCGCATGCGTTTTAACACCTAGACCTTATACCACCGCATGCGTATCAATATCACAATATAACACAATTCGCACCTCAAGTGTCCGATTATCACAGCATAACACAACTTGCACCTCAAGTGCTCAAATATCACAACATATTATAAATTGCACCTCAAGTGCTCAAATATCACCACATATCACAAATTACACCTCAAGTGCTCAAATATTACAATATATCATAAATTGTACATCAAGTGCTCAAACATCAAAACATATCATAAATTGCACATCAAGTGCTCAAATATCAAAACATATCATAAATTGCACCTCAAGTGCTCAAATATTACAACTTGCCATAGAAATCAACAATACATTATTTTCTACAATAAGGAGCACATGGCTCGACCATAATGTGCATAAAATCTTAACAAGATATCCGGGAGTGAACAACTCAACAAAATAATATTTTACAATTTAACACTTTGCCTCAATATGATTTACGGCCTTTATAACTCAATACCAATTTCAACAACATGAAATGGAAAGTAATTCATCAAGGAACAACGCCTTCTTTTGTTCAAATGTTTGGCAAATAGATTAATTCCTCCTTTTAAATTTATTTAATAAATTATTTACAAATGAATAATCCATAATGAAATTATCTCCAGGAAATATCAAATCAACAAAAATACGGGATTCGCATAAAAATCAAAGTGGCAATCGCACCAAATTATTATATAAAAATAAATTCAACAAACAAGTATTTACTATGTTCCAACAATTTTTTAATTTAATACATAAGGGCGTCTACGAATTTCAACCAATGTAATTTGCACATATAAACCAAGTACGTACTCGTCACCTTACGTACATGGTTTTCAATTACGCAATTTTCACATAAGACTAAATGCCTAAGGGGTAATTTTTCCCACTAAAGGTTAGGTAAGATACTTACCTTTTTGAAGTTAGGCCGATATTTCAAAATAGCCTTCTTGCGTGAAATGACCTCCGGACGGCTCAAATCTAGCTAAATAAATTATATAACTTCATTAAAATTTATCGGAAATAATTCCGGATAATAAAATGCCGACTTATAAATTCACATTAAAAAGTCAACCAAAAGTCAACGTGGGGCCCTCCTCTCGGAACCCGACAAAATTCTACGAAATTCGAATACCCATTCTGATACGAGTTCAACCATACCAATTTTATCACATTCCGATAATGAATCGACCTCCACCCAGTCTATAAAATTTCTACCATTTTCAACCCAAAATACTAATTTAATGATAAAAATAATAATAGATTCGGGTAACTTAACCAAAATTGAGCTAAGAACTCTTACCCCGATGTTTTCCTTGAAAATATCCCGAAAATCGCCTACAAAATTGCTTCAATCCGAGCTCCATAGCTCCAAATATGTTAAAATGGACAGAACCTCAAAATATAGCTTCTGTCTAGGCATTTACTCTTCGTGATCGCGAAACACAAAATTTTCCAGCTCAAAATTTGCTCTTCGCGATTGCGGAAAACCAATCGCGATCGCGAAGTACAAACTCTCCAACTCTTCTAGACAACCTCTATTTTAATAGTTATAACCT